CACTTCCGGCTTTTTTTCTTTTTGCTTATGTGGTGCTGAGGAATCGAACCCAGGGCCTCAGGCATGCAAGGCAAGTGCTCTACCACTGAGCCACCTTCCCTTTTTTTGTTTGTTTGTTTCTTTTTGTCGGTCATGGGGCTTGAACTCTGGGCCTGGATGCTGTCCCTGAGCTCTTCAGCTCAAGGCAAGTGCTCTACCCCTTGCGCCACAGTACCACTAACAGTTTTCTGGTGGTTAATTGGAGATAACAGTCATCATGGATTTTCCTGCCTGGCTTTGAAAAGTGACCCTCAGATCTCAGCCTCCTGAATAGCTAGGATTACAGGCGTGAGCCACTAGTGCCTGGCTGTTCCTTAGTTTTTTGCGCTTTTTTTTTTCTTTCTTTTTTATTTTTTGTCAGTTGTGGGGCTTAAACTCTGGGCCTGAGCCCTGTTCCTGAGCTTTTAGCTCAAGGAGAGCACTCTGCCACTTGAGCCACAGCACCACTTCTGGTTTTCTGGTGGTTAATTGTAGATAAGAGTCTCACAGACTTTCCTGCCCGGGCTGGTTTTGTTTTGTTTTATCGGTTGTGGGGCTTGAACTCTGGGTTTGGGCGCTCTCCCTGTGCTCTTCAAGGCGAGTGTTCTACTGCTTGAGCCACAGTACCACTTCCGGTTTTCTAGTGGTTTATTGGAGATAAAGAGTTTCTTTTTTTTTTTTATTGTAAAGATACTATACAGAGGGTTACAGTTAGGAGATAAAGAGTTTCATAGACTTTCTTGCCCGTGATCCTTAGCTCTCAGCCTCCTGATAGCTAGGATTACAGCTGTGAGCCACCGGCATCCGGCCCTGGGCTGGCTTCGAACCTTGACTCTCAGGTCTCAGCCTCTTGAGTAGCTAGGATAGCAGGCATGAGCCACTGGCACCTGACTGGGCTGCCTCTTGAAACACATGTGTGATTTGGATGTGTGGAGGACTGGGGGAGTTGTTGTCCTGGGTGAAGACTGGATGATGTCGTGGTTAACTCCAGGAGTGTATGATTGTTTTTGTAGGAATCAATATTGCATGCACTAGGTTTTGAGAGTTGGAACAGGAAAGACATTTTGAAAGTATATGCAGAATGGTCATTTGGAACACTGGGTCTGTGTGGAAGTGATGTGAAGTGATGGCTTTTACAGTTTGTCAGGCTTGCTGGCAGGATCTGGCTGCCTCCTATTCCCGCTTCCTCTCCCCTTCTTTCTCCCTTCATCTCGTCATCTAAACATAGCATCTTATCCCATTCTTCTAATAACCTTACGGAGTAGTTATTACTATTAGTATTTGCATGGGGAAAGCTGAGGCTCTGGTCATGGTTACATAGCTGGTAAGAGTCTGGTAATCATCCTGCTTACCACTGAGGATTCTTGAATGTGGGAAAGAAGCTGGGCTGGGGTTCGGGGGTTGTAGAATCAATGGGGTGTCTGATCAAACCATCAAAGACAAGATGGCGTGAGTGGTTAAAAGCTCAGAGAGTGTGGGTTCAAATCCCAGCTTTATTACTTGCTAACTACGTGACCATGGGCAAGTTGCTTGATCTTGCTAAGCCTGAATCTCCTCACTTGTAACATGGGAACAATAATAGCCACCTCATGGGGTGGTTATGGAGATCAATGAGGTGTGCCTGGCGTAGAGCGATTGCTCACCACCTGGAGGCTGTCATAATTAGCCCTCTCAGGTCTCCAGGCAGTGGCTGTGCACCTGCAGCTCGTTCGTCAGCACAGCGGTTTCCAGGACACAGCTCATCCTGGCCGGACTTGTCATATTAAGGATGATATTATGCAGAAAGGATGCCACCAGCAAATGTACTGTGTGCCCAGCATGGCCCAGGAACCAGTGACTCAGACCTACACCTGATAGAAAGGAAGTTGGGAATGTTATTGGAAGTTTGGTGGTTATTGCTTGTTCTCAGGTGACAGATGAAGAGGAAGGATTGGGAAGTGGTGAGGGGAGGGGCCCTTCATCACCAACAAAGTGAGGTGAGAGCCAGGTGCTGGTGGATCACGGTCCCGGAAATCAGTTCCTCAAGAGGCTGAGTGCGAAGGATCCCAGCAGTCCTGGCAAGGAATGTCTGTGAGACTGTTATCTCCAGTTAGTCACAAGAAAGCCAGAAGTTGGGGCTGGGAAGGTGGCTGAGTGGTAGAGCACTTGCCTTGTATGCATGAGGCCCTGGGTTCGATTCTTCAGCACCAAAGTGGTAGAGCGCTAGCCTTGAGCTGAAGAGCTGAGGGACAGTGCCCGGGCCCAGAGTTCAGGCCCCATGACCGGACCCCCTCCCCCCCAAAAAAAGCCAGAAGTTAAGGTATGGCTTAAGCGGTAGAGCACCGGCCTTGAGTGAAAAGCTAAGAGGTAGTTCTCATGTCTAGATTAAGAGCCCCCTCCCCTAAAAAAAAAGTGAGGTGAACTTGATTACTTGGGTGTCTGCCCAGTTTGGTTTCCCAGGATCCCTTCTGAGCCCAAGAGATGGCCATAGGGGCTTGGCCAGCCTGGATTCTCCCTCCCCCTTCCCCCCTCCCCCCTCCCCC